ATAGACACGCCCCATCCTTCTGCTTCCTAACTCTCCCAACCTGGTCCACACAATTGACGACTTCCAGGAGACGCTGTTTGGTTTGGTTCAAGTTCTGGTTCTGGATCAAAAACTGGGAAAGCAGAAATCCCAGGGCCATAAGAAGCTGATCTGGCTCCCCTGCAGCCCGAGCTAGCCCCCTTGGGTCTCTTCTCACCAGGGTGTGGTCAGCCACTATGTACAGCTCCAGGTACCTGGGGTTCCTGCGGGCCTCTCGCCTCACCTGTGAGTGGCAAATGGTGAGGGGAAGGCACCTGGGCTTGAGTCCTGACCACCAGCCCCAATTCCCAGACAGAGCAGTTAAATTTTTGCTCAAACTTGCTTCTTGGGCCTCAGTTAAAATATCAAGACAGGTGGGCAGGTCTAGGACCTGCATTCCTGTGACCTGATTTGGAGGACCATGGGTACTGTATGCCCACTCCCATCCTTGGCTGTGCCCCTGACCCTGCTCTGGGGGGCATGAGGAAGACTGGCCATGCCCACTTTGTCCCCCAAGTCCTTGTCACCACAGGTCCCTTTCCAGGTAAGCAGCTGCTCCATCCGGAAGATCTTGTGGGTTGCAAAGTCCTCGGTGTCCCCAGGAGGCCGGGGATAAAGATAGTAGCTGACATTGCTGGTGAGCACAATCAGGCCACTAGAGTGCAAAAGAATGCAGAGGTGTGTGTGAAAGAGCTCTTACCTCTGCACCAGATCCAGGTCCCTCCCCCCAAACGTCTCACCTCATCCCAGAACAGGTGCTGAGGACTACCCAGGAGTCTTGGAAGCCCCTCACACGCCCATGATAGTGGCAGTGATCCTAGAGAGGAAGAGACTCAGTCCCAAATTTCAGGCAGGGCTGAAGTTGAAGGGGTAAGGACCATGGAGAGGGAGGCCTAGGGGCTGGCTCCAACCTCCTCAGGAATGCAAAGTGGAGAGGAGCAGGAATTTAGGGCTGCATCCCCAGCACCCAATACCCTGTCCTCAGAGCCCATAGCAGCATCTCACCATGTGGCTGGGGACCAGCACCACTGGCTGTCCATCTGAGCTGTAGTGGATTTCTGTATATCCTGGGGTCAGGAGCCTGCTGGGGGCAGTGTTCCAGGAGTCACTGAATTTAGCCCTGCCTCCTCCAGGCTCCCTTTCCGTCTCCCTGCCTGAATGCTAGTTGAGCAGCTTGGAATGAGGCAACCATGCTTCAGGGAAAGGCTAGGAGAGACTGTGCACTGTTCACTCCAGAAAAGCCTTGGACTAAAGGAAAACAGAAATCAGGAAGGAGCCCCTGGTGTGGCTTAGATGCGGGAAACAGAATCTGGGAAGCACTAGGGAGGAGCAGGAACAGGAGACCTTTGGTTCTGTGGAACCTGCAACAGGCAGCTGGATCCACAGGCCAGAAGGGGAGGAGTTAAGGATACTGCAGAGATGCCATTTGGGGCCAAGGAAATGTGGTGAACTTCTTTAGTGCTCCTGCCTTTGTTGAGCAGACCCCAGATCCTTCAGGTCTTCTCCTCAGCCTGATAGACCCCTTATGTCTCCATCTGACCCTCCATGCTGCTTATCCACTTGGTTTTGAGAGAAAACAAAATTTCATCTGCCTACACATGCTTCTTCTGTTCTTCCCAGCTGAGCAGAGATCCCCATAGCCAGACCTTACTCTAGTAATAACTCCATCATCAAGATTCTCCTGCCCTCACCCCGAGATGAACAACCATAAGTCAATGACTTTTTCTTTTAATGGTTACTGGGAGCAAACCTTGCACATACTAGATAAGTACTCTATCACCAAGTTCTATCGCCAGTGCTTTTTTTAAAAGAAATTTTTAAAAAATATTTTATTTATTATTATTTTATGTGTATGCGTGTATTTCCTGCATGTAGGTTAAATGTACCCATGCCGTGCAATACCCGCTGAGGACAGAAGAGGCTGTTGGATCCCCTGGAACTGGAGTTACAGACAGTTGTTAGCTGCCATGTGGGTGCTGGGATTCGAACCTGGGTCTTCTGCAAGAACAACCAGTGTTCTTAACCCCTGAGCCATCTCTCCAGCTCCTCCAGTGCTTTTTTTATACTTTATATTTTGCTAAGTTTCCTAGGCTGGTCTTGATCTCACTCTGTTGCCTGCTTTACCTCCTCTAGTCATTCTTACACTGTCTCAGCTTTGCTCCCTTGCTGGACATGGACACACACACACACACACACACACACACACACACACACACACACACTCATTTAGCAAGTAGGAATGTTAGCATGGTGAACAAGAGTTTGTTCCCAGTCCGTCTGACCCCATGGAGAGACACTGAGCAAGTAAACCTATTGATAATAGAATCTAGATGATTCCAAGACTCCATCAGCCCAGGGCACCACCCTGAGATATGCTCTGCCTTCTCATTTACCAGCTCAAAATCTTTGGTTCTGTTCTTTCAAGACATTTAGCACTAAAATGCCTACTGCTATCTGGCCCTACCGAGACTCCCCCAAGTTCATTTCCCTCTGCTTTCTTCCCTGCAGATGGAGACATTCCAAGCAGATCAGACAAATTGCCATCCCTAGATAGTGACCTTCTTAACTACCCAGCCTTTGTCCCTGCCTGCAGTGCCTCTGAGCTGTGGAAGCCTATCTAGGATTCCCTTTTGATTCAACACATCCTGGGAATGTACACTAGGTGGTGCTCCCTCCAAGCTGCTCCAGAAGTTGAAATGGAAAGAATGGACCTACAGCTGGGTTCACCCCCAAGAACATCAGTCATGAGTCTATGTGACTCTCCCTGCCACCCTTGCTCCTCTTCCCATCCAGTCTCCCACAGGAAGCTCTGATCCCCTCCAGAGAGCCTGAGGGTCTGTTCAGCCCAACATCAGGCTGATACGATACTCACTGGTTCTTCTCCAACTCCAGCAGGAGATCCTGGCCTTCAGCCTTTAGGGCCACCAGCACCACATCTAGCTTTGTGATCTGAGCAAGAAGGAACGCAAGCTGTAATAGGGGCCTCTAGGCCACCTGCCTGCCAGGGACAGGTAGGATGTGGAGCTGGCTAGCTGAGAAAGTTCATAGGAACAACAGGCTGCTGCCATGAGTCATGGAGGGAGTGAACGGGTACGTGTGTGTCTGGGGGTCAGGGGAGACACGACATAGGTATTCCCAATGTCTGTGTAACAGTAGCCCCTTGAAAGTATTTAAACACGGGGTTCCCTAGAGACAGGAGTTCCAAAAGGTGCCCTGTGTATGCCAGGCATAGTAGTACATGCCTGTAATCCCAGTACTTAGGAGCTGGAAGCAGGAGGATCATGAATTCAAGGCCTGTCTTGACTACATAGCAAGTTGGAGACCAACCTCCAGCTTGGGCTATATAAGAACCCTCTCAGCCAACGAAAGGTGTCCTGCTTGCCAACAGTGACTGAGCTTTTCCCTTAGCCTGTTCTCCTCTTTGGTTTCCAGAAGGAGCAGGTAAAACAGAGGACAATGAGTACCTAAGGACATTGCAGGCCATCTCATCTCTTATCTTGGGGCTTGTTTGTGGGTTTTTTTTTTTTCTTTCTGTTTCTGTTATTGTTTTGGGGTTTTTTGTTTCTTGATTTTTTGTTTGTTTTTTGTCTTTTTGAGACAGGGTCTCCCTGTAGCCCCAGCTGGCCTGGAACTTACTGTGTAGACCAGGCTGGCCTTGTACTCACAGAGATCTGCCTGCCTCTTCCTCCTGAGTACTGGGATTAAAGGCATGCCACTTATGTTTTTTAAAAATATTTTATTTTATTATTATTTTATGTGTATGAATGTATTGCCTGCATGTAAGTATATCTGCGCCATGCAGTGCCTGAGGAGGTCAGAAGCCCCTGGAACTGGAGTTAAGGATGGTTGTTAGCTGCTATGTGGGTGCTGGGATTTGAACCTCGGTCCTCTGCAAGAGTAGTCAGTGCTTTTAAACACTGAACCATCTCTCCAGTCCCTATGTTTTGGTTCCTTTGTTTGTGGGGGTCTTTGCTTGTCTTTTGTTGTGGTGGTTTTTTGTTTATTTTGGTGCTTCAGATCAAACCCAAGACCTGGTAAATGCCTGCTATGCCACTGAGCTATACCCCCAGTCCTTTGTTTATGTGTCTTTGTGTCATTCCCTGTTGAACTCAGACTTTATTCCCACACCTCCAGTTCTGGCAAACTGCCCCATCATCTGAAATTTCTTGTGACCTCCAACAGACTGATCTCATATCTCAGCTTACAAAGCAAACATGACCCCCATCCTAGGTCCAGAAAAAAGTATTTTCTCAGCCAAATATCAGGAGAGAGGGATTTGGCCCTCCGGCAACCTCTCCTCTTTTACCCTCTTTGCCTCATCCCCCTTGTCTACATAGCCTGGCTAGAGGCCCAGAGTTGGAGCTAGCCCAGGAGTTTCCTGGGAGGTTGCTGTATTTTTTAATGTTTTTCCCCACCCTTGATGGATCTCCCCTTTTATCCCAAAATGCACTGGGCTAGGACTCTGGCCAAGAGGCTCAGAGTATGGCAGGGGGACCCTTCCCCTGCTGGTGGAGAGTGGATGGCCTTCATTTCCAGAGCTATAGGCCCCACAAGGCCCCAAACATGAGCTCACATGGCTGGGCTGCTACTTGCTTTATTGAGAAAAGGCTTGCATTGGGAGAAGGGCAGTGGCGCAGATGGACAGTTCCTGTCCCTCTGTAGCCCTTGCTGCGTTCACTTCTTGCTCCTGGAATTCCTAATCCCTACTCTGTGCCCTATTCCCATCCTGAAGATGTATGCTGTTTGTGAAGAGGATACCCTGTTCCTTCTGTCCTGTCTCACAGGCTTCCTGGTGGCAGGTGCCAGAGTGTGCAAAGCAGGCCTGCTGGGACTCTCCTCTTGGTCATTGATTAAACCAGAGAGGGAGAGAGGCCACAGAGGGACCCCAATATGTGCCCAACCTCCCTTCCACAAGCCAGCTCTGCTTAATCAGTTGAGGAAGGTCTCAGAAGTCTGGGGGATCCCAAGTGAAGTCCCTATGTTAGAAGCCCCGGGATTCTGGAGACCCCAAGATATTGTGCCAATACTGTCCTGGCTTTGGACAGTGGAGCTACCTTCCTTGCCTGACAATACAGAATCAAGCTCTCTCTAACTTGAGCAGCTGTGGGGAGGACGAGGAAGGTGGTCAATAGTCTGAAGTCTTTTAGACCTTAGGAGGTCTCAGGCTTCTAGAACCAATGAGCTACTTGACCACAGGCTATTTTACAAACTCTCTTCAGTTTGCCCCTCTGTAAGATACTGACACTAGCCTCTCAGTGTGCAGCATTGATGTAATGGCATACACAGCTGAGTCATGAATATTCTGGGAGCATGTGTGATGGGTAGGAATTGAGAGCAGGCTGGGTAGTATACTGAATAGCAAATTGGAGTGGGCTTGCATCTGGGGTGCCACGAGGGCAGTCACTGCTTCCTTGTCAGCGAGGGGGGCTGACATTTCAGGATAACACTGTGCCCAGAGTCACATAAACTTGGCCAAAGGAAGGTATTTTGATGTCCATCCTTTGAAAGCTCCTCAAGCTAGGCATGGTGGCTCATGACTGTGATTCCAGCACTTGGGAGGCTGAAGCAGGAGGCTCACATAGGAGTTCGAGGCCAGCCCGGCTAGCCAGCGTTGCAAAGTAAAACCCTGTCTCAAACAAAAAAGAAGCTCTTGAAAAGTTTCAGGCCTCAAACCCTGAATCCATCTCTGCCTGGTTGGGGTGGGGATAGCTTGCATACTTCCCCAATGGAGAGAAGACTTCCCACTCTGCTTGCCCTGATGGAAGTGGCTAAGGATTAGTTCTGAGAGCCTCAGAAAAACTGTCACATTGTACTTGGGCATAGGGCAGAAGGGTTGAAACCCAGAGCCCCTGATGAGGACAGGGTAATAGATACTAACCGACTCATCTAGGGTGACCTTGAGCCAGTGTCCTCCACCCAGAATCCAGTGTGGGATAACTGGCTCTCCAAGGATATTTCCTAGGGTGAGGACAAAGCATAGAGTTAGGATCTGAGGAACAGGTAGGAAGTCAGCAGAGATGGAGAGGCCCTCAAGGCCAAGTTCTTTTGCGCACTCCTGAGCTTGGCCTGGAAGACGGCACTTTGGAATAAAGGCATCCCTGGAACGGAGCAGCTGCCAGGGAGGTGGCAGAGGGAGACTAGGGAGGGGTGGTACTAGGGAGGGAGCATCTCCCTTGGAGATTTGAGAGCTGTCAGACCTTGGGGTCAGGCCCGGGTTCAACAAGTGAGCCATCTCCCCAGCCTCATGCACCAAATTCTGCATTTCATTTGTAGAAATGCTGTAATAATCTGCAGGAAAGCTAGTGAGTACCAGAAGAAAATTGACAGAGGACACGTCTTAAGTGTATCTGAGCTTCCAACTTACTGATCCAGGGATGGTGATCTCTCCTTTTATTCTCCTCTCATTTTCCATGATTTGATTCTGTTTCATTACAGAACATCCGTCTAAAACATGAATCCTAAGAAAGCACACACATTCCCTCCTCATAAAGGAGGGATGTATGTACATAGGCAGACGCTGGACCCCATTAAAACAAGCCATGATCAATTTCCATCCCTCAAACATCTCTCATGATATAGAAAGTGTCACATTTGATAGACCATAATAACCTTCCATGTATTTACAATCTTCTCGTGGTCCAGAAAGCTGGCGATGGATGCCAAGCGTGAGAGCTGGATTCTGGATGATTAATGATGCCGAATTGCTCTTCCCCGCTCCTTATCAGTGAGGTTACGGTAGCAATTATCGGCACAGTTCAGATGGTCACTAAGAATCAGGACTGAAAGCTGCTAAGTTGCCTGAAGATCAATTTTCTTTTAGGATTGCAGTGGAGAACTGCAGCAATGACATTCGCTGATGTGAATCGCTAAATACCTCATCGCGAAGAAGGAGCTGGAGCCATGGAGACTTCCTCACCCTGTGTTCTGTGGGGACTGAGCATCATCTGTTTACAGCTTTTGACACACCCTAGGCTGTATTAGAGTCGCAAGTCATTTCTTCATTTAGTCAAGAAGTCACACAAAAAAAGGATGCAAAGGGGGGATTCTTCAGTTCTTCCTTCACATCACGTAATGGAAGCAGAGCTAAGGCCCACGCTTAATTTGGCTCTATCTTTTCAAGAATGATTATACAGATGTGTAATGTTGCTGGAAGACAGAGGTGGTGCCTTCCTTTAAAGCAAATAGCAGGAGTTGGGGGCGAATATGATCAGAATACATTACATGAAATTCTCAAAGAACTAATAAAAATATTTTTAAAAAGTAAGACTTCCCTAAACATTATATATATATATCATATAAACATGATATATATACATACACACATATATGAATGAGAAAACAATTTTGTCCATTGCTTTTGTGATGAAAATCATTTATCACCTATGGGAAAACGCATATAGGCTTAGCAGTAGATTTGAAATATTCATTCACGTTTCTGTGTACACGGATTCTCTGTTGGGATGCAGGGCAGTCTATGCACATGGTCGTCACCATCTGTATTG